AAGACAAAAGTTTAGACGGAAATGTTATATAGAATGGCAAAAAACGAATAATTATAATAAATGAATTTAGAATGAAATCTAACCCATGACCAGTATTATATGGCAAAAAGTATAACTTCTCTGCATCTGCGGCCATAAATGATTTGACAAAGTAATCTCTGACTACATCTGGAGTGTGATCGATTGACCGTGTGTTGATACAGCTAGCAGATAAGAATGCGAATCTTGAACTCAAGTCATGCGATACCAACATCTTGTCATACAATAACCTTAAATAAAAACATAATCAACATTAGAATATTAATTTAAATGAGCAAATAAATTGTTCAATTATTTAATTAAAATTGATCGAAGTATTACCTGATGTAGGAATGCATAACACCGATGCCCAATTCAGAATGTTGGAAAATCTGGTCGAAATCCTCCTTGGCAATTGTTTCGGCATATTGAAAACCGAAAATATCTTCCTGCATAGGTATTTGACGGATGCCACCCTCAACCACATCTGTTGTTCCTACATATGTTTCAAGGCACAACGTAAATCGAGGAACAAATGCTTTTTTTGGCTCGACCTTTTTTTTGTTGGGCACCTTGCTAGATTCAGGCATCTTACCCTTGCTGACTTGTTGTAACTGTTGATCATGAACCTAAAAGTCATATAAATTCAGTAATTAATGTATAATAAGATCATCATATAACTGTAATAGTACCTGTTTTTTTGATGCAGCTGAATCGGTTTCCCGCACAATAATTCCCTTATCTTTTGATTTGGATTTTGTAGGAGTCTAAGATCATCTTGTAAATAAGTAAATGTAAATGTAAGAATAACTTTCATGTATGGGTCGTAAAACATTTGAATACTTCATAATGGTGTTCAACCTACCTCATCATCTATGAAAATGAGATGTGACGGCCATGTAACAAACGATCCTATCGCGTCTCCTACCACTGTTGCGTCCGAAACATCATCTGGTATAGGCAACAACGCACCCCCCTCTAACGCAATATCAACCAATACTTTCAAAAATCCAGCAGGGAGCAGTTTATGGTGAAGTAGGTCTCCCAAAGTGTTATGTACTTTTCTCTTGCTAACCATGCGATAAGTTGGTGACGATAAATATAGCCGACAAGGTGAAATTCCCTAAACAAATAATGAATATGATTAGTGTGTCAATTAAGAAAATTGTGCTATATTAATTTCAGTGTAATATATACAATTACCTCTGGAAGCTTCTGCGGACAATTGATACTATTTTTATCGCTAGTATCTTTACACTCTGGACCGCACCTTTCTGACATGTATCTCTCTTTGTCCTTCTGTAATTCACAAATCTGAGCTTTCAATTCCTCCAACGTCTCCATCACTTCTTTATTGCTAGGATTTTTATTCTTTGCCTGCTTATACAGTTTTGATGGAGTGACACCAAATCCCTTATCCCTCACACGCCCAGAATACTCAGGAATATTTAACACCCGACTCAGTAATCTCCTGCAATCATCGTCCTCAGCTGCAGTTATAGTCTGGGATAGAGTCTTCTGAAATATAGATAAAAGCATATATAAATATATTAAACACTTTTGAGTTACTAACAAAACTAATATTGTACTTACACATTGTTCAAATACTTGTTGAACTTCTTCCTGAACGACTCCATCTCTTCCCACACGGGCAGCCTTCCACACAACATGGTCCGGAAGAGATGTTGCATCACTTTTCTCCTCTTCTAACTACACATTAAGACAGATAATAAAACATTCATACCCCATTATATATACTTACTATTATTTGTAACTATATAATATTAAAGTATTTATATATACTTACTATTTTTTGTTGTAAGCGTGCATATCTCAAACGCCCTTTTTTTGTATGGATACGCGAGTTTTGATTCCCATTTCTGATTCACGTCACTCACAACCTGAAAAAACAAGTTTAAGTCATATCAGAACTCCTGTGGAAGAAGTATATATATTATACATTATTCATGATAAGTTGTACTTACGCAAAATTCTTTGGTTCTTCGCTTGGCAACAAATGTCTCCCATTCTTCATCTAAAATCAGATCAGCGTACTTCTTTGGACGCTCTGATTCGATAAAGTTTCCATCAGAATTTTTAAGAAACTTGTTCGTTAAAAACGCTCTAAATCCTCTCAGTCGTTTTTCGGCCAATTGAAGACAATATTTTCTCCTGCAATCATCAATATTAAAAGATCTCTGCAAACAAATAAACATACATATAACATGTTAGTATAATTAATTTAAAGATGTAACCGTCGAGATAATTAAAAAATATCAAATATCATACCTGTATCTCGCTCCAAATTTTGTCTTTACCGGTTGTAACGAAGGAATTCTCCAATTATCGCAAGTAATTGGAATTTGCGAACGAACAAGTGCTCCAATGTAACTTGTCAGCATCACATCGTTAGACTCAATTAATTGATCTCTTTCATTCCAATGCACATCATACTTTACACCTTTATCTCTCGCACGAATGATTTTTTTCATAATCGTTATTCCTCTTTTAATATCGCCTTCCACGTCTTTTGTTGTTTCGTTTCCATCATGTGAATTTTCCTCGTTGGTGGCCATAATACCTGTAATTCAGAAAATCCAAATTATCAAATGAATGACAAAGAAATATATACATAATTAATAACATCATCAACATTAAATAATTCTTGGAACATCAATTGTTGATAAAACTTGCAATAATGTAACAACTTCTTATATAGTTGATAATTTCTTTTAATAAAGCATTATAATATTAAAAGAAAAAGGTGGAACAACTAAGAAACTATAAAATGAGGAACAAAATAAAATACCATAAAAAACGAGAAAACTTAAAGAAAGTTATACCTAACATATTTTTTACAAATTAAAATTCTCTTTAATTCTAATAGGGATAGAAACAAAAGTAATTAAAAAATCTGCACTGCTACTTATATTAGCAAAAAAAAAATCAACGCAAAAATTCTCTTTTCTAACTATGTGTGTGAAAGTAATATTTGTAAAGTTAGTGTGGCTAGTAATTTCCAACCATCTATTCTAAAGACCAATATGTCTCAAATTTAACAAGTAAGTTTCATTCACTGTCAAGTAGGTATCCTAACAACATCACAACACCAAGTGAGATTCAAAGTGAAATTCACATCTCAACAAATTAACATAAACTAAACTCTTAACATAACTAATTTCAGTTCAAGCTCCAAAACTAACCAATAGTTCTAACTAATCCTTAACACTAACTCCCTAACGACTAACCTTCAATCTCTCACTATCCTAATTCCATCTAACTGTTACTAATAGAAAGGTTAAATCAGTTTCAATCCAAATTTTAAATCTATTAGTTCAGAAAAATGAAAAACCAAGAGGATAATCGAGAATAATGAAAAATGAAAAACTTCAAATACCGTAAAAATGGTGGAAATGCGCTGACAGTGGAGGTGGAGGACGAAGATGAACGGAGGACGGCGACGGACGGAGGCAATGGACGGAATGCGTTGGCGGTGAATAGGGCAACGTTTGCGAGAGGGAAAGAAGGAAAGAAGGATACACGACTGTTCTGTTTTTGGAAAAATTCTAGTGGGTATTTTTAAATTTATTCTACTTAAACCTATATCAGCGCTTTTGAAAAGTGCTCTCTAAGGTCTGCCTTAGGCAGAACCTATAGCAGCGCTTTTTTAGAAAGCGCTTTCTTAAACCCCCCTTTAGCAACGCTTTTAGAAAGCGCTCTCATAGGTTACACCTATAGCAGCGCTTTAAAAAAGCGCTTTCTTAGGGCATACTTTTAGCAACACTTTTTATAAAGGGCTTTCTTAGGGCCTACTTTTAGCAGCGATTTTCTTAAAGCGCTGTCTAAGGTATGCTATTTTTTTTCTTTTTTTTTTCATGACTCTTTAACAGTGTTTTTTCATAAAGCGCTGTCTTTTTATGCGCTGCCAAAAGTTATTTTTGTAGTAGTGGAGGAATTATACTCCCCTCCTCTCCTCTCCTCTTTTAAAATTTGAATCAACCATATTTAATTAGAAATTTTCTCTCCCCTCCCTTCCATCTACCTTGAACCAAGCACACCTTTATAGAAATTTGATATAAGAAGGAACACAATGCGTTTGATTCGTAAAATAAGAAGTATTTGACAGAACAATACTAAACAAAATAGAGTAATATAAGACAATTTTTTGTATTATACTATGTTTGATGATTGATGTATTGAACACATTTTTTTTTATCTATTTTGTTTGGTGTGTCTTTCCATCGAATAAAATAATATAATTTTTTTATTTTAATATTTTTATTAATATATAAAATATTATTATTTATAAATCAAAATATTAAATAACAAAAAAAAAGAAAAAAAAAAGATGAAAGAGGTAGACAAAAATAATATTACTTTTATCATAGGTTTTTTTATATATAAAATATTAATATTATATTTATTAATAAAAATATTAAATAATGAAAAAATATGTTATTTTAATATTTTTAATAATTTGTGTTTGAGAAAAAAATCGTTATATTCTACATCAAACATACTATAAAAGAGTTTTTCTGTCCAATCACTCTTTCTTTTTAGCAAATCAAACATGAAAGAAAAAAAAGCATTTAAAATTTAATATATTTCTTCATATTTCTATATCAAGTGCTTAGAATTGTTATCTCTTAAAAAATGTATCTATATTATTGCTGGTATTTAAAATTGACTCAATATTTATGATTATATATAATTTATTATTTTTTGAAATTATTTTCGAAATCGATTAGCATCGGTGAAGTATTTTTGCGTGTATCATATCTTAAATAAGTATTATTAGGAGATACATAAAAGCATTGGCCCAAATTAATTAAATACAAGCAATCAATTTACCTTTCATCACCTCATAAAAGAAGATTGAATCTCACAAGAATTGTAAAAAAACATACAAAACAAAAAGCAAACATAATGAATCATACAGGTAACTTATGCCCCTGCAAATATAATTCTTACAATCTAATTTTCTAATGTCTTCCAAGAGCCAAAGAGGACATAACAATCAACAACAAAAGAACCACCACAGCAACAAAAGACGACACCACAGCACCACTAGTTTGTGCACAGAAATCTCCAAATTGATTGCAAATGGCAAGCCAGTTTGCATCTTGATTGCCATTGTGAGCCATGTAAACCATGGCAGCAGCCGAAGCACCACAGGAAGTTGCAAGAGTAAGAAACACCTATAAAGATTATACATATGTTATTTTTTATGTCAAAGTTTTTGAAATCTAATTAAGATTTAATTAGGACATTAGGGAACATAATTACTGTGTCTAAGATGACGAGGAAAAGCCTTGGTCCATTTGCATGAGGACGAATGACAGTTACTATGGAGAATGGTAGGGATAGTACCAAGTAGCCACCAACAAATGCCATTGCTATCACAAAAAACCTGCATATTTATTAGAGTAAGCATCAATGAATTTGATCTCTACGACTATACACATACAAATCACAACACAGACACCGGACACAATACTGACGCTAACATACTAATATGTTGACCCGATAATATAATCACAAATGTCAGTGTCGTGTCACACTAAGAGCAACTTTAGTGCAAGATTGTTAAACCAAAATTTTGTATAGCTTAAGTTACTAATAAAGAATTTGCATTATAGTAGAGCTGACATAACATGTAAGTGAACTAAAATTTAGTTCCCATTATTTATATAGTTAACGTTAATTAATGTGAAATATATTATAATATTATTTATTTAATTAATAAAATATTTCAACAGCATTAAAGTAATGACATTATATTTGAAAATAGTGGGGTCAAATTTTGATTTCTTATAGACAACCATCATTAAAGTAAAAACTACTCAAATCAACTATAAATTTTTTAAATCCTACAAAACACTTTGGATCCACAAAAAATATCTTAGTTTATCCATTTAGTTTATTCTCATTAAAGATGCTCTAATACAGAAACAAACATGACTTTTTCAAAGATGTCGGTGGTGCAGAGATATAAAGACATAGAAGTTTTGTGAGTTACTTACTGAAAAGTTGAGAAGCTATCATAACTAGCTTCAAACTGAAAGAACTGAGTGAAGAATGGAAGAATTTGATCACTGGTTGCCATGGTGATAGAAGCACCAAGAGAGGATGCTATGGCACCTAACCTTAGAATGAAATCCATTATGGCTATGCCTTTTTTCCATCCTCCTGGTTTTTGAGGGGACGCTATTAAAGCAGCCTTTTCATTAACACGAGGGTTGCTTGACTCTGCCACATCAATGATGGTTGACATTTTTAGGATTAATATTGATGATTTAATTAGATGAATATTAAAGATATTGATTAATCAAGTATGCAAAATGAAGTTCATGGTGTGTAGCTTTTATAGAGAGAATAAATAGAATACAAATGCATAGTGATAAAGAAAAATGTTAGAGGAGTGGCTATGAAACAACTTCCACTTTGTATACACAATCACCTTTAATAGCAAAGCAAGTAGAGGTACGACAGAAATGTTTATTAATGTTTTTAGTTGAGTACTTTGTTTATTTTTCTGTTTTTAAAAGGAAAAGTTATTTTCTAGTCAACGTTCGGAGGAAATGAGGTTTGTTTTTGTGAGGTCAAGAACACCGGAGCAATAAAATATTTGATGTTTTAAACTCTAAAATGTAGAGATAAGAAAAGGTATAATAACAATTATCTTTGTTTCACATTTATCAAGTATATATTATTCACTTTTTATTTTGGATGAGTTGAAAGTCTCATATCCTGCAGCTTTAACTTCTACTTTTACTATTGATTTAGATAAATGATATGTTTACACCACATCTTACAACTTACACCGTATTTTGATACGGTTTTGTTTTATTTATTTATTATATTTAATAATCATTTCTTACTTTTGTAATACAAATAAACACATATCATAACTATATTTTAGAGGGTGTAACTATATTTTATGAAAAATGTTATTTTTACACTCTTTTTTACATTCAATACTTACATCGTATGTATTTTTCACCGAATTTATACTTTTTAATTAAAATAATATATTTTTTTTAAATATTAATATTTTTTTAAAAAAATATTTATTTTTAAAATTTATTTTATAACACAAATATAAGATTGCGGATTCACCAACTTCACATTTGCATTAACCACAAAAATCTACATCATTAGCTAATTATTTTACCTATAATTTATTAACCACTTTCACTACTTCATTAACCAATAAAATACACACTATTAACCATGTTCTGAGAAATTTGTTCAAGTATTTGTGAGCAGTAAATTGGGTGTAGGGTGTAGAAAAAGGGTGTCAACATAGCAATTCTGATATTTTAGAGGGTGTAACTATACGGTGTATTCTTTTTAGTGTAGAAATAACAATCCTCATTGATTTATTAGCTTTATTTTTTTTCTTGAATTATTCTTTTTTTTAATTTTCGTTTATGACATTCTTGTCCAAGATATACATCTATCTGCTTCTAGGTTAAAGTACTTGACTTTTATTGGAGCTTTAGAAAATTTACAAGCCAATAATAATTTAGATTTTTGTGGTTGTAAACTTACAAAATTTTCAACTTTACCTTTTAATAAAAGTGTCTCTATTTTATATGCACCCTTTAATTTGGTTCACTCTCATGTATGAGATCTATCACCGGTTATTATCAAAGGTGAATCTAAATATTATGTTTCATTTATGGATGAATATAATTGTTATGATTGGCTTTACGTAAGAAAAATCCTTTTATATATATTTATCATATGTTTCGTGCAATGGTTAAAATACAACATAATGTTGTTATAAGATATCTTGTACCAATAAAGTGCATGCGCGCGCGCGCACACACACACACACACACCTCCAAACAAACACACACCTCCAAACAAACACACACACACACGCACATGTGCGCGCGCACACACACACATACACACACATACACACACACATGCGCGCGCCTACACACACACACGCACACGCACACACGCACACACACACACACACACACACACACACACACAAGAAAGCATCCCTAAAATTTTTTAGAGGCATGCCGATTGAATCAAGAACTGTCAAAATAATTTTGGACAAGTTTTTAAACTGTACAATGGATTGTCACTTATACCCAATCGATTGGTTTAGTGAAAAATTTGTTCAAAATCAATTAGGACAACATCTTAATGAAGGAAACATCCATGTATCTTTTCTTTCCTTTTTGAGTTTTTTTAATTGATTAATTTTGGGGCTTCTAATCAATTGGGGCACGATGCCAATCGATTGACACATTAACTTTGACCCATGGATCTTTCCTTTTTCGTGCCAACCTAAAGCTATAAATATAGGCTCTTCCTTTCACATTTACTCATATTGAAATGTGATCCTCCTATCTCACACCTCATTATCTCTAAAACATTTTCTACTTTATTGCACTTAAGATTAGCCGTAGCATTTCACGAAAGTTTTTGTGTTTGGTGAGAAAGTTTGTATTTTAGAAGGGGACTTATTGTAAATTCACCAAGAAATGTTTATTTTCTCTTGGTTGAATAACTTACCATTAAGGGAGTGTTCATTTTGGTTAAAAATCTAAACCCGTTAAAAGCTTTGTTTGTGGATTTAGTTTTTAAGCCACCATTTCGGTTTGTAAGCCCATTCCAACTAAAAGCTTACTTTGGTGTGAGATCAACTCAGTTTAAAATCTCAGTTTGGTTAGTGGTTATCCTGGTTAAAACCTTAGTTCAGTTCATAATGTTAGAACACAGATTGGTTCTTAATAATTACTCTTTGTTTTGATGATAACTGTTAGGAAATTTATATTTAAGAATTATATACTCTAAAATTTGTTTGAGAGTTTTACTGCAGATTAAAATTATATTGACTCTCTAGAAGCAAATCTGTCTTTGAATACAAGAAGGTATTCTGAATCTGAAGCGTCAGATGCATCGTACAGAAGAATCTGCTTGCTCCTTACAGAAGATCCTGAGCGTAGTCTCCAGAAGGATCTGAAGAAAGAAGCTCCAGAACATTCTGAGTCAGAAGCATCTGAAGATAATCAGAAGCATCTGAAGATGAAGCATCAGAAGAATAGAAGAATATTGATTGTAGAGTTTCTCAAAGCATTGATCTACAGAAGTTTCTGAAAGTACCTACGCTGCCAAGTAATGAAGTTCTGTGTCAAGATGCTCTGATGATCAACACGCTAGAAGCACACAAGCTGCAGAAGACTCTGATACAGCATAGTTCTTAATCTCATCAGAAGACTCTGATCTATTCAAACTCTGAAGAACTTGCTGAAACTGAAGAAGTGTTTTCAAGAATGTATCCGTTGGAATCATTCAACGTCTCTTTCCTTATTTGTGCTAGACACACTTACACAGACAAAAAGGATTTATCTGTGCCATCTATTTCAAGGAAAGGTCAGTACATGTGAAGACAAAAAGGTTCAGACCTTTTGGACTCTCTTTTCAACGTGGAAAATTCAGTTGCCTATAAAAGGAGCCTCTCACTTCATTCTTCAGTTACACACTCTTGAGCTATACACTTGCTGAAAAGAAATCAAATATTCTTAAGCTCTCATTCTTATTCTTCATAGAATCTTTGTACTTAAATCTTAAGAGAAAAATCACTGTTGTGATTATAGCTTTATAGAAGCATTAAAAAACTCTTGTATTTAATTTACATTGTTTGTAAAGGATTTTCCTTAAGAGGATTCAGTGTGAATCAGTAGCTCTTGAGAAGACTAAGAACTGTAGTTCTTAGGTGATACTATTGTAATCTGTTTGATTTAATAGTGGATTAAGACCTTGTTGAGAAAGGCAAATCACTCTGGAAGGGTGGACTGGAGTAGTTGTTTAACGAACCAGGATAAAAATAATTGTGTGATTATTTTCTAGTATTAATTTTCCAAACTTATTCAACCCCCCCCCCCCTTCTAAGTTATATCTCACCTTCAGTTGGCATCAGAGCTCCGGTTCTGAGTGTGCTATCACTTAACAGTGTCAGTAAAGATCCAGAGGAGATATACTTTGATCTATATATTTATTTGTTATCATGGCTGATAATTCAATCAACAATAAATATGAAGAGAAGGATAGGATCAGTACCAAACCTCCAATGTTTGATGGAGAAAAATTTGACTATTGGAAAGATAGAATAGAAAGTTTTTTTCTTGGGTATGATGCTGATCTTTGGGATTTGGTCATTGATGGATATGTACATCCTACTGGAGAGGATGGCAAAAAGATTGATAGAAAATCAATGACTGAAGTGCAGAAAAGAGACTTCAAGAATCACCACAAAGCCAGAACTATATTGCTTAATGCAATCTCTCATACAGAGTATGAGAAGATTACTAACAGAAATACTGCTCATGACATGTTTGAATCACTCAAAATGACTCATGAGGGAAACTCTCAGGTTAAAGAGACAAAGGCTCTGGCGCTCATACAGAAGTATGAGGCATTTAAAATGGAAGACTCTGAAAATGTAGAAACTATGTTTTCTAGATTTCAGATTCTTACAGCTGGTCTGAAAGTTCTGGACAAGGGTTATTCAACGTCAGATAATGTCAAGAAAATCATCAGAAGTCTTCCCACCAGATGGAGACCAATGGTGACTGCATTAAAGATGGCAAAAGATCTGAACAAGATCTCCTTAGAAGAACTTATCAGTTCTTTGAGAAGTCATGAAATTGAGCTGGAGGAAGATGAACCCCAGAAGAAAGATAAAGGTAAATCCATAGCTTTAAAATCTAACAAAACTGCTAAAGCTTTGCAGGTTATTCAAGAAAGCTCTGAAGAATCTTCTTCTGAAGAAGAAGATGAGTTGTCCATGCTGTCCAGAAGGATTAACAAACTCTGGAAGCACAAGGGAAAGAAGTTTAACAACTTCAGAAGATCTGAAAACAGAAAAGAATCTTCTAGTCACAGAAGATCTGCCAAGAAAGATGTGGTGTGTTATGAGTGCAAAGAACCTGGGCACTACAAGAATGACTGCCCTAAACTTCTGAAAGAAAAACCTAAGAAGAAGTTCAACAAGAAGAAAAAGTTCTGATGGCAACATGGGATGACTCTGATGAGTGTGAGTCATCTTCTGAATCTGAAGAAGAATGTGCAAACGTTGCATTGATGGCCAGGACAGAGGATCAAGAAGAAGGTACCTCTGGATATGAATCAGAATCTGAATCTGATGATGATGCAGAAGAGGTAATGGCCAAACTTACCAAAGAAGAACTCATTAAAGTTTTAACAGAAGTTCTTAAAAGTTACAACAACATCAAACTCAAATAC